CTTTTGGTCATGTTTTGCATCAGTGACTTCTTTTTGGATTTCTTTTTTAATGGATCTGCTGTAATATGAAATGATTTTGAAATTTTGTACCCTTTTTAAAATCTTGTACAAAAATGTTGTTTTTTTTCAAAATTGTCATATTTCGTTAGTATATAAGTACAAGTAAGTAAGTAAGTGAGGCTGTGTAGATATGCATGCATACATGTATGTTTTGGTTATTTCCATTGAAGTATGTAGGTCAACATTTATGTGACAGCTTGCCATGACTGATGGCACTATAATGAATAAAACAGAAAAAAATAACCAACTATAGAGGAAACCTCATATAAAATATGTTTCATACATGCATGCGACTTTCATATTTCATTTATCATATTTTTACGTGTTTTTTTTTTAAATATTTCACAAAAAAAAACATTTTCATTTACAAAAATAAATTGTAACCACAAAGTAAAAAAGACACATTCCACACATACACACCAAACAAAACCATTAAAACTGAAATGTTTTTAAAAAAGTTTTATTGTTTTTAATGCATCCTTTTTTAAAAACAAAATACATTTTTTGTAACTAAAGCTTATGGAAATCAGAGGAACATCCCTGGGGTGTTGCAAAGGGATTGATATTTAAAACTTTTTGTTGTTTCGTTTTTAATTTTTCTGTTTTTAGTTTTTTTCCCAGAGAAATTCATTTGCAGTTATTTTGAAATGTATGTTTGTCTGTGTTTGATATGTTTTTTCTGTGTAAATTTGCAATTAAAAGGTATTTAAGTATTTTGTTCAACAACTATATATTTGTTTATATTTGTTGGTATTACATATCAAAATGATCTTTATTTTTTTTAATGCTGGGAGGAAAATATATATGTACATTTGGTATGTGGTACGTTTCTCGAAAAAACTTAAGTCCATCACCATTTACGAAGCCCCAGGTGTCCTTTTCATACCCTTCAACTACGTGAGAAGGTTATATGTAAGTTTGTCATTCCATATAAAATCATTATAGGAACGATTCAGTCTCCTCGTGTCATGTTAAGTCGGGCGTAAATGTCCGCAAGCGCTTTCGTGAAAGCCCTATCAAGTTGGAGTAAAGGGACCAAGTTAACCTCTCCGCTCTAGCTGCTTATGCCATTTCTCACCGAACAGTGATTTTGATCAATTGATATTTCAAAAGCATTAATCTCCAAGATATTTTCGTTTGGAATTCCACCTCTAATGCAATATCTTACATCGTAGACAATAGTAATCTGTCCCCAACACTGTTTTTAAGTTTCATAAACAAACTTCTATTAATCACCTCTAATTCAATATTCTCATACGAGGACTGATTCCGACGCGATCGAACTTTTAAGTTTTATCGTCAATGACGATTCACAAACAACATGAGATAACACTTTAACCAACATATGCATGGATATAGTGAACGTCGAAGCATTAGGTAAACTTTCGATTTCGGGAACGACAATACAAAACCTCGGCCGATGGAAAGCCCATATCTTTGCTATTGCAAAAGAAATACCCAAATGTTTAGGAATTTTAAGACGCCAGGCTGGAGCCTTGAGTTGCAAGGTCAGGTTCAAAGAAGAGTGTCTCTATTGCACGTGAGGTAGTTGCCATACAAGTTTGAATCACTCCACATAAACTTAAACGTCCCTGAGTAAAAACTCATAATAGGGGAAATGTTGGTAAATTGTAACATTTTTATTAAGCTTATAAATTTACCAAACACTTAAATTGTTTTAAATGCATTGTTATAACTAAACCTTTTTCTTTATTTATAACAAGAAAGTTAAAATTTCAATTACATATCAAGTTCTAGGTAAATTTTCTTTTTGTAAATTTTAAAGATTTGCATTTGTACTGACATTTACTTGTGTTATGAAATCAAGCAAATCTTTGTTTTTGTAAAATAAAATTTGTCTGAAAAAAATATTTATACTAAACTACTACCTTATTTGAGAAAGCATTATGCATTTGTGTTGATTTTTGTAACACCCAAAAACATTGGTTCAACAAACATCTTTTTGATTCAGTGTCACTCGATTCATGTCCGACAAGAACAAACCCATTTACAATATGTAATTGAATTCGACTCATTATTTCCACAGTTTCTGAGCACTAAGTATAGACTAGAATGTAGACTATAGACAATAGACTAGACTTGACTAGACAATAGATAATAGCTAATAGACTAGACTGGACTGGACTAGACTGGACCCGACTACACTAGACTAAAATAGACTATAGACAATACTATAGACTAGACGATTGAATAGGCTATAGACCAGACTATAGACTAGACTATATACTAGACTATAGACTAGACTATAGACTAGACTATAGACTAGACTTTAGACTAGACTATAGACTAGACTATAGACTAGACTATAGACTAGACTATAGACTAGACTATAGACTAGACTATAAACTAGACTATAGACTAGACTATAGACTAGACTATAACTAGACTATAGACTAGACTATAGACTAGACTATAGACTAGACTATAGACTAGACTATAGACTAGACTATAGACTAGACTATAGACTAGACTATAGACTAGACTATAGACTAGACTATAGACTAGACTATAGACTAGACTATAGACTAGACTATAGACTAGACTATAGACTAGACTATAGACTAGACTATAGACTAGACTATAGACTAGACTATAGACTAGACTATAGACTAGACTATAGACTAGACTATAGACTAGACTATAGACTAGACTATAGACTAGACTATAGACTAGACTATAGACTAGACTATAGACTAGACTATAGACTAGACTATAGACTAGACTATAGACTACACTATAGACTAGACTATAGACTACACTATAGACTAGACTATAGACTAGACTATAGACTAGACTATAGACTAGACTATAGACTAGACTATAGACTAGACTATAGACTAGACTATAGACTAGACTATAGACTAGACTATAGACTAGACTATAGACTAGACTATAGACTAGACTATAGACTAGACTATAGACTAGACTATAGACTAGACTATAGACTAGACTATAGACTAGACTATAGACTAGACTATAGACTAGACTATAGACTAGACTATAGACTAGACTATAGACTACACTATAGACTACACTATAGACTAGACTATAGACTAGACTATAGACTAGACTATAGACTAGACTATAGACTAGACTATAGACTAGACTATAGACTAGACTATAGACTAGACTATAGACTAGACTATAGACTACACTATAGACTACACTATAGACTAGACTATAGACTAGACTATAGACTAGACTATAGACTAGACTATAGACTAGACTATAGACTAGACTATAGACTAGACTATAGACTAGACTATAGACTAGACTATAGACTAGACTATAGACTAGACTATAGACTAGACTATAGACTAGACTATAGACTAGACTATAGACTAGACTATAGACTAGACTATAGACTAGACTATAGACTAGACTATAGACTAGACTATAGACTAGACTATAGACTAGACTATAGACTAGACTATAGACTAGACTATAGACTAGACTATAGACTAGACTATAGACTAGACTATAGACTAGACTATAGACTAGACTATAGACTAGACTATAGACTAGACTATAGACTAGACTATAGACTAGACTATAGACTAGACTATAGACTAGACTATAGACTAGACTATAGACTAGACTATAGACTAGACTATAGACTAGACTATAGACTAGACTATAGACTAGACTATAGACTAGACTATAGACTAGACTATAGACTAGACTATAGACTAGACTATAGACTAGACTATAGACTAGACTATAGACTAGACTATAGACTAGACTATAGACTACACTATAGACTAGACTATAGACTACACTATAGACTAGACTATAGACTAGACTATAGACTAGACTATAGACTACACTATAGACTAGACTATAGACTAGACTATAGACTAGACTATAGACTAGACTATAGACTAGACTATAGACTAGACTATAGACTAGACTATAGACTAGACTATAGACTACACTATAGACTAGACTATAGACTACACTATAGACTAGACTATAGACTAGACTATAGACTAGACTGTAGACTAGACTATAGACTAGACTATAGACTAGACTGTAGACTAGACTATAGACTAGACTATAGACTAGACTGTAGACTAACTAGACTAGACTATAGACTAGACTGTAGACTAGACTATAGACTAGACTATAGACTACACTATAGACTAGACTATAGACTAGACTATAGACTAGACTATAGACTAGACTATAGACTAGACTATAGACTAGACTATAGACTAGACTATAGACTAGACTATAGACTAGACTATAGACTAGACTATAGACTAGACTATAGACTAGACTATAGACTAGACTATAGACTAGACTATAGACTAGACTATAGACTAGACTATAGACTAGACTATAGACTAGACTATAGACTAGACTATAGACTAGACTATAGACTAGACTATAGACTAGACTATAGACTAGACTATAGACTAGACTATAGACTAGACTATAGACTAGACTATAGACTAGACTATAGACTAGACTATAGACTAGACTATAGACTAGACTATAGACTAGACTATAGACTAGACTATAGACTAGACTATAGACTAGACTATAGACTAGACTATAGACTAGACTAGACTATAGACTAGACTATAGACTAGACTATAGAGATAGAAGAACAGTACTGAAGAACTAAATTTTCCATGCCTGTTTTGTGTACAAATGTATGTATATCATTTTTATTTTCATTATTTTCTCCCGCTTCCTAAAATTTGCAATTTCATGCTAAAAAATGTATGTCAGGTAAATATTTTAATTGTTGTTCTAAAACCTAAAAGTATACTTTACAAATTTAAAAAGAAAATAAATATTTCAAAGGTTTGCTTAAAGTACATGCCATTATTTTTGAATATAAAAATTTTAAAATAAAACATTTTTAACATTTTGTAATTTATTATCATATTTGTTTTTCCATTCAATTACAGATTCACTTCTTTAAATTTAAACGAAATTTATACATTTCAACATAGAATTTTCTTCTCAAATTACGGTAAGTCAAACAATTTGTAATTTTCTCTATCTGTTATTATTTATAGTCCATGTTTTTTAAGGTTAAATTAAGAAAATAAAAGAAAGAAAAAACAACAAACAAACTGTCATTTCATGTTATTATTGCATTTGTTTACCTGTTTTTAATACCTTTTTTATAGTATTACGTTTTTTTCTTTGATTTTTTTTTTGCTTCAAATTGGATAAATTACGTATTAAATTACGAGCTAATTAAAAGGTCGACTGACAGCTGTCAATTAAATGAAATTAATGAGTAACACATAAACATTGTATAAGTATAATGACAAGTACAACCGCAATGTAATGATATATGGTGTCATGTATCTAGCTCTGAAGTTTTTCAATTGGGTGGTATACATATGTTTTTGGAGCACAGTTATATATAGTTTTAAGTTCTATGGAATAATCTAACGGTTTCAATCAAGTTGTATATGTTTCTAAATAAATTAAATGTTAATTGCTGTTGAAAGCCTTTTGAGCCTATTTTGTGTACATAAAGATGGAGCCATCCTAATAAATATGAGACTTTTAATTTCTTTATGCATATGTATGTGTATTAGGGAAGTTTTTATATTCTTTGACATTATATTTGTAAAACACCGCTATATTGATTTTAGACTCACAAAAGTATATTGTGGATCCTTATAAGATTCTAAAACAATCTAGAGATGTAGGTCTGCCGGTCCAGAAGCTAGAAGACATAAACTTTGATAAGGTTTGCTAGTATAATCGGTCCACGATTCCATCTAGGCCCCCACATAAGTGGTCTCCATAATTCAGTTTAAACATGTTGATAATGTATCAATAAGGCTTGGGTGGTAATGACTACATTTTCAATTACAATTACATTTGAAGTAATTTTAATTAAAGCTTTACCAATTACAATTACGTGTAATTGTAATTGAAGTTTTGACAATTACAATTACTTATAATGGTAATTGAAGTTTTCCAATTACAATTACATGTAATTGTAATTGAATAATTACCAATTATAATTACTTGTAATTGTGAATTTTGTTCCTTATGATTACATGTAATTTGTAGTTAGTAATACCTTGCTAATTTGTAATTAGTAATTCCTTACTTACAATTACAAGTAATTGTAATACGTTATTGGTCGATTACACATAACAAGTAAATGTAATTGGAAAAACTCCACTTACAATTACAAGTAATTGTAAGTGGTTATTTCTCAATTGCACATTACAAGTAATTGTAATTGACTGTAATGAATTACTTTATGTAATCATTACTCCCATGCCTGGTAATCAATCATGATACAATTTTACAAGAGTTTGGTTTGTTTCAAATAATCGCGAACTAGGAAAACAACCCATAGATCAATCCGAAAAATTCAATTACTACGTTTTACCTAGAATCACTAACACTTCAATTCTATGATTCAAAAGTTCGAATTCTTGAGCTACTTGTTCTCTGACCACCGCAGTCCCTTTGTTTCTTGTCCGAAAATCTTTCGACGATATCTGAAGCACTCCTAGACAACAATATGCCACCACACTGGTGGAATGGTCTCTGTTTATTCGTCAACATCACCTATAGACGTATTTGGTAGACTGAAGTGCGATCACCATCAATAAGTTAAGACTTCGTTTTTACTTATAGGGGACTCACTGCAGTACGTCTGTTAAAAACAGAGTAAATCCTTAATATAACCTGACAAAGGTGGAAATACCACATAGGAAATACATAACCATTCCAACCTTTATAGGCCTTAACGACCCCTTAAAGGCCTCTTTTATCCGACACATTTACAGAGAAAAACATCCGACACATTCACTTGCGAAGCGGGTGAAGTGAAAGACACTTAACGTGATGCAAAATCGTAAACACTACATTGTGGTTATAATACGTATTCTTACCTATAGTTCACTAGTCTGGTTGAAGGTGATAGAAACTAATTATAAAGTACAAAGACTGACTTGTCTTTCTACAGCAGTCGCTATGAGCTCTACGTCTCAGTCCAGTCTAGGGGAATATAAGACGAACCTGTGTACTTGACACCAATATTGCTTGCATTTCTGTTAAATGAGATTAGGCTCCGAAATCAGGCATATGCTGCAAAACGTAGGTAGAAATATTCTCACGTGGACAATTTTCCTCCACAAGGATCTTGCATTTCTAATGGCTCCAGCCTTGAACATGATAAAGTATGACTAATGTTCATTAACAGATCATTCATTAATAGGTTCGCACGAGAATTGGATCTTCACTTAGAAACGACCAGAGTCTTTCTTACTCGGCCAAATATTGTCAACTAAGCGACAGCTGTATCAACCGAAAGCATTTCCCCAGGAAAGAACTATGGGCCAGAGTTGAACTGTTACAACAACCACGGATCGTCGAAAAACAATATTTATGTATATTCCCCAATCTGAGGTTTCCAGCATGATCGACGAATAGGAATTCTAGTGATTCACTACAACTATTTGCTCTATCTTTCAGGGAAAAGAATTTTGACCCTCTTGGGACTTCATAGAATTGCATGCACATCATATCGTTCTTGTTAGCCACGCATCTCATAGTTATAGCAGATGTTGTATATGGGAATAAGAACAATCGTTTTCGGTCCTGTTCTACAATAAGCCTTATTCTTGAGGTGGCAAGTTTCAAGGCTGTGTCAATAACAAATCAAATTTGTTAGAAGTATCGATTGATTCTCTTTGGGACCACAGGAAGGACAACTTAAATTAGGAAGGAATAATTTTAAGACAACATGTCAAATGTCCTCCGAGTGACAAAAATCATACCACATTTGACTTTCATCCCCATATAAAGTTCCCTTCAAATAATTACTTTAATAATCATAACTGTCTTAAAATACCATTATTAAAACTCAAATTTCTCCAACAAATTTCATGAGAATTGCTTCACAATTTCCAGAATTGCTCTGAAATACCGAGTCTCATATCAATTTAATTACTTTCTTTCGAAATTCGGGGAAAACAACCTTAATATATTATTATAATATTAAAATTATTTCACATGAAATCAGATACATCATGACGAAAAAAAAAAACAGTATTTTCATACAAAAAGAGATTTATTAAATTGAAGTGGGTGTTTATTAAAATGATGTAAAATTTTTTAATGGAAACAAAGAGACGCTTAAAGCCATAGTAACGCTCTCATAAAGGATATACATAAATCTCATAAAGAATTTATACATACAAATAACACAAACGTAAAAAAATATTAAAAATGCACAAATTTCTTTAAAATGATAAAAAAAAAGTGCAATTCAATACATTAAGATTTATTTAAGTTTTAAAGTATGTAATAATCCTTACTGATAACTTTTTGACCTTAACTTAGAATTCCAATGACTTAATAAAATTACGAAATTAAATTTACCTTTAAATATCGCAACTACAATATACCCAGCAAAAAACTTTTATTACCAAGTATAACACCTTGCAAAATGCTAAAACTTACTTACACATTAGCATGTTAAGTCATTATTTTATCACGACGGTAAGTACTAATCATGTTCGCTCACAAATAGGGAGTTAAAGAAGTACTTACCTCGACGTCTGGCTTATAATGAGTTAAATAAGTAGTTTTGTTTTTAAAAAAATAGCCGCAATAATACAAAAATACAACAAAATACAAAACAACAAAATGTCTAGACTTAAAAGTATATACTTATATATATAGTTATTTGTAAGCCATTAATACACTTCTTCGAAGTAATGAACTACAACATACCTAGTTGAAAAGTAAGTTTTTGGGTAATTTCAATTTATTAACATGTTTTTGCTGGACATGAATATACAACATACATATGTATGTATGTATGTATGTATGTATGTATGTATGTATGTATGTATGTATGTATGTATGTATGTATGTATGTATGTATGTATGTATGTATGTATGTATGTATGTATGTATGTATGTATGTATGTATGTATGTATGTATGTTCATGTTAAATGTTAAAATATATTAATAAAATTTAAATAATATATAAAATTTCCATTAAACTGAATGTCATTTTCATGGCATAAAACATCACTATATGATTGTGAATTATTCATTATGAAATAACTGAAGGACAAATATTAAAATATTTTGACATTAAAAGAGAAATGTAAATTTACTTGTCAAGTGGCTTTCAATTGAAATAGTATTAATAGTAAGAGTTCTATATTCGGCTCTGCCGAATCTTATATACCCTACCCTTATTACAAGAAAAATTAAAGAAATAAGTACCAGTTAGAAGACGAAAAAGTGCCAGAATGAACCCTAGACTTTCAATACCGCTCTTACCCGCCCGTATACCTAAAATGAGTGTGTCGGCTAGAAGTTATTATACTATTAGAAGTATGCTGGGTTGAATGGTGATGACAGGTATCTTATACAAGTGATACATTGAATTTTTCTGCCTTGTCCAGGCATGTTCAGGAAAAATTCTGTTCATACTAGATTTACCACAATGTGTTCTCTGTGACTAAGAACAGTCCTCGGTTTATTTGATGGATTCATACCGCTCTTAGACTTTCAATACCGCTCTTACCCGCCCGTATACCTAGAATGAGTGTGTCGGCTATTGTTCTCTATAAGTGTATCGGATGATTTAGAAGTATGCTGGGTTGAATGGTGATGACAGGTATCTTATACAAGTGATACCATTGAATTTTTCTGCCTTGTCCAGGCATGTTTAGGAAAAACTCTGTTCATACTAGATTTACCACAATGTGTTCTCTGTGACTAAGAACAGTCCTCGGTTTATTTGATGGATTCATGTTTCGGATTACCGAATGCCGGCTCAACAGAGGCCATCCCATTTGAGTGGTTGTAAACAGAGGTGATGTTTTACAACTCAGAAGTTAAGCAACGGGGCAGCAATGGTCAGAGATCAGAGTGCTGGTACATGGACCGGAAGAACCATGTACAAAAATTACCACCCGCGTGTAAGATTCACAAAGGGGCGTTGGTGAATCGCCACAAGAGCTCACCGT